ATTCATCAACATAATCATTTTGGGAATAAAAAAAAATTAAATACAAATTTCCAACTGTGGTTTTTTTCTGCTAAATCCATRTTTGGAGCTCCTACTTGGAGTGGTATGGAAGGAAAAGCAGGGGTAAGAGTGTTATTATATTAAGTTTGACARTTAAATTCAACCACTAAGCTCCTTTTTCTTTTCTGCACATCTAAATGTAAATTTGCATGTTTTTTTCTATCCATTTTCAGAACTCAAATGACTATGGGGAGTGTACTCACAGAAGTACAATGTTTGACAAAACTTGGGGAAGTTAAATTTTATGTTTATGCTTCATTCCTATCCTTGGACCTTCCTTCTAAGGGTCTGCCTTTGTTGTGGTCTTTCATAGCCTGTTTACATTTCTAGTTCTAAATTTAAAGAGGRCTTAATAAACCAGAAATCCTCTTAAATGGACTTGGGATCACAGCTGGATGAAAGCTGAAGAGAGAATTTAAAAATTAATGCTTTAAAATATTTTAATTTTGTCACAGACGTATTTTCATCTTCAGGGGCCACTACAAAAAACGCAAGTAAACAGCAAACACCATGCCCTGCACTAAGTGACTCGGTTTGGGATTTTTGTTCCTTTGAAAGACACAGCTACTCAATGCAGAGCTTTGCAGTACACAGCTTAACATCCGAAATTAATTGGAAAATCATTTGCACCTTGTTTTACTTTTTAGCAAATTGAACCTTCTCTCCCCAAACCTGTTACTTGTGTACCAGTCAGGGAAACTGAAAGTGGCTTGCAATGTGGAAATTATATAACAAAGTAAAAAAAAAAAAAAATAAAGGTCTCATCGTGATCTCCCCAAAATTTTGCTACTTGCTAGCACTTATAAAGATTATTGGCATCAATCTTTGCTCCTCTAATGATTCTAGTAAGTCTGAAATCTTCCTGGATGGAGTATTTAATCCAACTGGCTTGAGAAGAATCAGACCCTCAAAGATTACAAAGTGAATTAAGAAATGCAATGCAATAAATCAATACTCTAACTACTATTAGAGAAATAAAATATTTCCTATATTAAGGCTGTATTGAGATATAAAGCTGACAAAAGACATATCTTTATCATATAATTGTGTTTGTAGCAGCTTTTTGTCTCAAAATTAGATTTAATGCAGACCATTAAGATGTCACCTGTAAGAGAAGTAGCAGTTTAGTCCTTTTGGCAACAGTGCCACAAATCCTGTTCTGATTAGAAATATTTTACCACATGTAGAGAGTTTTTCTGGGATCATGTAGTTCCTTTTGAAATACATGTGAACCCTGACCATGTTCTAAACTCCATGAATCTACAACATATAACACTTTTARCCTATCTAAAAGCAGGGATGTGAGAGCCTAGATGTCCCCTATATTGACAGAAATGCTTGTTTATGTAGTAGAAATGTTTTYTTATGACTAAGTGTTGCCTTGGAAACCACTACTAAAAATGAAAGTTTTGCCTCCAAAGGCAAAACCCACACAGTACTCAGTTATCCCAAAGTTTGCCTCAGCTTTTCCTGATCAAGCTGGAATACAAAGATTTGCAGTGAAACGTTGCTAGCTTTTCATTCCTCCTTCTTATTCAAAAATTATATATTCTTATAAATTTTTATGATTCTAAACAACAAACAGGAATCAATAATTTATTTCCTAAAMCCCCCCTCAAAGACAGAAAGAATGTAAGATCTATTCTAAACCAGCCAGTAAAGAGGAATGTATGGCAAGAAGATGAATGGTAAAAAGATGAAAAAGCAAAAGATGTCAATCATCTGACWCAAAGGCTATGGCTGCTCAGATGTGGCGACCTCACAATGTATGAGGGCATTTCYGCTTTTGCCCCAGCTTGCCTTTTGTACCAATTTACATTTTTATGTCTGGGAATACATTCACACAATATTGAATACTGCATCATAGATATAAAAGCCTATTTTAATCTTACATTGTATTGTAGATCATTTGTTTTAAAGAAAGAAGACATCCAATTGTACCATTCAATTTCTGACACCAGGACTATGACAAAAAGGGGAATAAAAAATAACAGTTTTCCTCTGAGCACAGACAGTGCTGTACTGGGAGATGTGAGGCTAAAAATACCACTATTCAGTATGCAGGCCCACTCTATGGATTTCTTGCAGCTACATGTACTGGGCTGATATCAATTAAAATCTCTGTGGAGAGGAAACATAAATTCTAAAAGCACCAAAATCTTTGAAAGAACATGGGGGGATTAACCTTCACATGGCAAAAGAACAGTTTGGAGCTAAACAGATGCTATAAAATCCTCTGGTAATACACGTGGCCTGCTGTTGGGAAGATGTTCATGAGGGGAAAAAAGGTCAATGTTACAATGAYGGGCAGTGAAAGCTGCAAGAGGATCCAGCATCCAGTGTGGGGTTCTTGTCCCTTATCTTGCCATGAAAGACTCCTCAAACGGTGAAAGCCTTTCCTGAGTCCTGCACAGCCATTGTGACAAATCTTTCCTTCTTTCTGTCCCCACCCCATTTTGGTCATAGCTGTGCTGAGTTCTTTTAAAAAGCGACTGGACTTTTTGACTTCCTGCTGAGCTTTCCTAAAAAGAACATCTGCTGGACTTGGTCAAAGGGAGCAAGACCCAGAGGCTGGAGCATATGGAAGGCAAGAGCATCTCACAGAAACCCGGCTATCCCAGTTCTTCCAGTGGGAGTGCAGCGTGGAACATGGGCTGCAGCTGTCAGCCTGCCCTCAGGAATGAGGGAAGGATATTTCCCAAGGACCAGAGGTGGGCAGGATCTGCCACGCTGACTGAAACAGTGTGTGAGGACCCACTTGCAAGGACAGGAAAGCAGCAGTTGAAGGAATGAGTGATTTGAAATGTTTTTAATTTCCCTTAGGCTCTGCTCCTTTTAATTCTTCCGGTTTACAAAGGTTTTAGCTTCTATCATTGTTTTTCCCACATTAGTTTCAAARATTTTTGCTGTTCTTTGGGGAGCTCATGGTCAAAACAGATTCACCTTGGATGTCCGGCCAACACAGGGACCTCCAACTCGCCATCAGCCTCTGTGATATCCCCTCCTTTTGTGCAGAATCCTGCTGGACATGCTCTAGGAACATGCCCAGCAGGATTTGGGAGTTCAGGACCTTGGCAGGCTGGAGCAATGGCTCTGAGGCACTTCTGAGGTTCTTCASCTTCAAGAGGCTCTCATATTAAGAGCTGGATGAACTGATAGAAAACAGGGAGCATTTCATCAAGCCTGYCCTACATTTCAAGGAAGTCCTTCAACACAGATAAAGAAAAAAATGAATATGYCCTGGCACTGTTTTGRTTTTGTTTTTTTTTTAAACAACATAACATTTACTGATTCAAAGCAGCTCTAGCTATGATCAATAGGACAGGCACTAACTGCTCTGTAAAACTCATTGTTCCATATCAGTATCCAGAAGAAAATTACAGGATAAATAATAGCAGAAAGCCCCTCATTATAATTTGGTGTCTTTTCTGAACCTAACTGGTGCAGAGGGAYGCTGCCTGGCCATTCCCATTAGCCCAGGCTGGGTGCTGAGCTCTGTCGCTGGGGCACTGGCTGCCAACTGAGCGCACTCACACGAGCAATTAGCGCGGCTCAGCCATCATGTGAGAGCTTGCTCAGCTGCAATGATGTTTATTTTCCCTTTCAAACCTCATACCAAGAAGCAGTGTGAAGCAAAAGAGGTTTTGAGGACTAAATGAAAGAAATCTCTGCTATAAAGTAAGGTCTTTTTGCCCCAGCTTGCATTTTAAAATCAATAGAAGAATCATGTAAAGTGCATCTTGCAGTTCTGTATAGAACTTCTAAGAAATGGAAGTTGCAGCAAAATTATCAGWACACCTCTATTTTAGGCCTAAACTAAAAGTAAATGCATATTCTACATATATAAATATGTAAGATCTATAATCCCATTACAATATTGACACTGAATTCCGTAGATGTAGCACAGTACTTACTGCAATACAGTGAAATTAGATGAGTTCCTTATTTTGGCCGTACATCACTTTTTAAAGTGAAATAGAGAAAAAAAAGGGGAAATAAATTATTTAATGCTCATTTATCTTCTCTATTAGAATTCTGTCACTGTGCCCTATCATGGGAATATACAAATTCTGCACATTTGGGAGAATAATAATGAGAATGCWCTCTGGCTCTGAAATAGTTTTAGTTTAAATGATAGGAAAGTTACTAAAAAATCAGCTAAAATATAATTAGCTAAAATTCTTGATGTGGTGATAGTAATTGGAATGGAAATGTTACTGAACCTTTTGGTGTTGTGAAAAAATGCTGTATCACAACTTGTCATTGGAACAATTGTCAAATTTGAACAAGCTTCTTCATATTAAATAATTTTTCATTTCACTGGAACCCCCCTACAACACCATAAATCCAAGAAAAAAAAAAAAAATCCCAAAACCCCTCACCCAAACCCCATTTGCCATTATAACAGTTTACCTGCATGACATAAGGAATTAAGTATTAATGAACTGAGACTTAAACCATGCAAGAAAAGTCTTGCATATCTTGCTAGAAGGCAAATTTAAGCAAAATAAAATGAAAATTTTGATTTATGCATAAAAGGCCTAACAGCATGCTTCCAACAGTAAAGCTGGTAAGCTTCTCTCCCATCTCTCTGTTTTACAAACATATCTTTGTAAATGAAAACAAATCAACCAAAGAGGAAACAATGKGGGAAATGACCCTCCACAGCCAGCAAAACCAAGCACAAAACTCAGAGAAAAATGAGAMAGGTCTCCCACTTATACACATTTTCTTAAAATAAAACTTCTGCCAAAGTTTATTACACATCCCTTAGCAAAAAATCAAACTTCCTTTAGCACTGCCAATGTTTTACTGAATCCCAGGACTGAGGAAAGAACAAAGCCAATTCCAACTGTTTTTCCTATGGCACAGACAAATCTGCAGCTGGAATAAATTGGCACCAGGCAATCAGCTGCTCAGATTAGATAAGACAAACTCACACTYGTGGTGTAGGCGGCTTCGGGGTCATCCTCCAGCACCCGTGACAAGCCAAAATCGGAGACTTTGCACATGAGGTTGCTGTTGACCAGGATGTTCCGCGCTGCCAGGTCCCGGTGGACGTAGCCCATGTCCGACAGGTATTTCATGCCAGAGGCGATCCCCCTCAGCATTCCAACCAGCTGGATCACTGTGAAGTGCCCATCGTGCTTCTGCAAGGGAAGATGCGAGTTCAAACAACAGAGCTACTTCCCATTTGTTTAATTCTAGGGGTATTAACCATAGCTCTCATTTAAAACACTTTTGTCACCCATCCAGCCAAGCTGCCCAATGCAAGCTTGTTTTTTCAAGGACTTAGGTTGGTTGGCAGTGCATCCCATCTCATCTCTCACTGTGCAGCTTATCCCCCTTTCCTTACAGATTTTCACACATTTCACAAGCTTCCTACTGACAACATTTAATTTCATTTACACTTRGTTACTATGAACGTCTTCCCCCAACACTATTGTTAGTACAAGAATGAGAAAGCACACAAAATCTTCTCTTCATCTATTATGCCATGGCCTCAGGAAACAAAGACCCCTCTCTTTTTATTGTCCCAGCCTTGATTGTCTGCATTGGGGTACTGCTGTTACATCACTTTTTTGGGGGGAGGGTTGGTTTGTTTTGAAAAAGATCCCAAAATAACCTGGAAAAAGTCTGGGGCTTTAGCTCATGTCTGTTCTGCACCTAACATCACATAATCTCTGAACACTAGATTAAAAAAGAGATTTGGGCTGAAATTCAGGGGTTATGTAGCTTTTCCAGAATCCTCCTGGCTGATGRAGGTTAAGCTCAGACCCATGAATGCATTAAGCTGCTTAACACCTTCAGAAATCACTCGGAGTTGAACATGTAAATAAGAGTTATGTCATTAACTGTGCTTGCCCAGCTGGTCAGGCTTTCTGGGCCTCAGTTTCTCCATCTGCAGCATTAGAGTGACACTTCTTTCTGTGGTGCACCAGACAGCTCCTGAATTAGTGGCAGTGGGGACCAWGGGAGAGCATGCACAGAAATGTGATTACGGGCTCCTTGCCTTGTTTAGGCCTGCCCTATGTACCTTTCACAGCAGACTGCTTGCAGGATTTGTGTGACCTCAGCTGGMAGACATTTACCTTCTCATGGATTATTCAACGAGCCAGGCTTTTATGTTAGCAGGAACAGCCAAACAAAAACAAACAACTGCAAACAACTTTCCATTTTCTCTTTCAACACCTTCAGCATTGSGCTACAGACAAACAGCAAATTCTGATCAGCATTCAGGACATTTCTGTTGCTTAGCTCATGCATTTAAGCAAGCTGATTTTTTTTAATAGGGGAGAAGCTTACTGTAAGTTCAGCAAATTCATTAGATTCAGCAAAGCAACAGGCTGAACTGTGTGGATATGCTTAACTTTGTCCCTGGTCAGCAAAGTATTTCAGTATTTCCATAATGATTCAGTCATTTGGGGCCTATATCCAGCTAGACAGGATATGAAGATTTAAAGTCTAAGACAAAAATCAGGAAGAAAACGGTAAAAGGAAGATCCCAACACACCTTGTSAGTCAGCAGACCTCACAGCCTTATCAAACCTCCCAGCAAGACTTGTATTTAAGGGGCTATGATAAACACCACAGTGAACTCCCAGTAAAGCACATGGGAGGACACTACTTTGAAACCAGCTATTTACAATTGACTTAGGGAAACTTTCCCCCTGAAATGACTCAGTGTCTCCTATCAGACCAGTGGAGCATTTCTGTTTCTAACTCCACACCAGAGTGGGGGCAGCTCTCCCCAAGCACTCAGCCACATCACCCTTGCTGTCCCCACCAAGGCCACCCGTGAGCCACCTGCTCTGCAGAGGGCACAGCTGTAACTGCAGTGAAAGATGTTTCAAATAAAAGCACTCCATCCAGCAATTAAGCAAAGAGATAAAAAATTATATTCTTAACTACTTTAAGCTGCTTCCTGTAAAGGAAGGACATGAACTCTAGCCAATATTTTGTGTAAAGAAACCACACAGGATTTGGGTTCTGCTTTTTATTCAAAAATTACRAAGCTGGTGGCCAACAGTTCATACTCTTCACAGATATCATGCATGTTTTTTTTTGTTTTTTTTTAGCTAACTGCAGAATTAGGATTTAGAACAAAGTGCCAGCACCTGACTTTTGCAAAATGACCATTCAAGCCCCTCTCAACCGCCATGACAAAGAACCAAACTAAACTAACCCCTCAAACCTCTAGATTTTTCCTCYTCCTTAGCAGCTTCATTCTTTCAACAGTCTTCAGAGTCATCTGCAACACCTCCCTTAACCTTTTGTCCTCTCGGATTGTAAGCATTCATTCCTTCCTTTTTTAATTTCTGCTCTTTCAAATCTAGACCACGCTTGACTGATTTTTCATAAAACATAACCTTTTTTCTGCTCTTTCCAAGTCTCAGTACTTGCCTCAACCGTATAACAGTAATGCCTGAGTTTAAAACAATCTCATGCTTTTGCCATTTTCTCCTTTCTTCTTTCAAATTTCTTTGGGCTTCTGCCTTGACACAAAAATTAAAGCTTATCTCCACCTTTAAAGAAATGACAGACCTGCTAACATACCAGTTGCAATTTTATTCTCTCCTCCTTCTCCCTCTGTATATTTCTCAGAATCCTCTACTGCATCTGTTCTTCTCTCTTCTCATGCTCGGTTTTATATTTTTTCACTGCCAGCCTTGCAGTTGGAACAACTACATTTTTACTGTCAGCAGAACAGTCTTTTCTCAATCAAGTCTCTTTGTAATCACTTCTGCAACTCAGTTTCCATGCCAGCTGTATCCCCTTACAATCTATAAACTGTTATCTTTCAATATATCAAAATATTTTTCTGATGTAAGCTGATCTGGATACAGACTCTGGGCTATATTTAACCTTTGGAAAATTCAGCAAGGTTGATGAAATTAWAGCAGGTAGAATGTGGCCTCATATTTTCAGCATTTTTTAAGTCCCCAGGTAATCCTTTGGCAGCTTTTCACTATCTTGTTTCATTCACTTGTCATATATGGAAATAAAACACTCCTCCAACTGATAGGATGGTTGTTACACAGGGCTTTATTCTGATTCCCATAGCTTCCATTTGAAATGTTTTTGATAMGATTCCCACTGGGCTGTTAAGGGTGTTAATCAATACTGGCAGCAATTCAAACCTCAGTGGACTCACCACATTTATCCTATCATCCCATTAAATTTTAATCAAGCTTTGATGGCTTTGCTAAATAAACTTTTCTCAAGAGCTGGGTATAGATGCAATATCTGAATAGTTGCTCTWACCTTTATGCAGCCCTGAAAGTGCCCTGAAAACTGATTTTTATTCAGCTACAGTTTGCTTTTGAAAAGCTTATGTAAGGGAAACATTTTCCTCCTGTTACAGACCTTTCAAGAGCACTGACACATAATGGGCTGGTGAAGAGGGTCAGGTACTGTAGGGGAGAAAGGATGATATCCGAACTTTCTCTCAYTGCCTTTTCCCCTTCGCTTTCCTGCTCCAGCAACCAGTTCAGTGCTTTTCTACAAGCCTGTGGATTTTTTCTTCTTCTTCAAAACATTTTTTTTCCCATTTCACTACCAAGTAACCTTTTGGAAGCATAGCCATTGGATTTTCCTGTATTGCTTTCGGACTTCGTCTATTCTAAAATCCATTTCTTTATTTGCCATATGAGTCAGAGCACTTTTAGGCCTTTATCCTCTGTGCAAGATTGCTACAGGCCTAAATATTTTACTGCAGATTAATGAGACCTTATTTTAGATGGAGAATAGCATTGAAAATGGTATGTCTGTGTCTAACCTAGATCAAAATGACCAGTGACAGTTCCTACTGGTCACTGTGTGAAAGATGCAGTTTTTGCTATGCATTTATTGTCACTGTTTTACTGTGCAAAGTAAATGTCAGAACTTTATGAAGATTAGGTGCAGCTTGGTATTTCTGGGAAGTTTATCTCATACTYCAAACTATGTGTATCACACCAAAGTTTATATTTTTGCAACTAAATTAGGTCAACTGATAATCTCTTCCTCATTCACCTGTTAACAGAGTTCCATGCAGACTTAATTATTATTAATAGATTCAATTAATTCAATTAAATATAATTATTTTAGTTAATTTAAAACCCTAATCAGTGATCCAACATGAGAATCTGAGTGACTCTTCAACCATTAAAAATTGGGAAATCTTTTTATTATTAAAAAATATTTGCAAGATGAAGCCCTTCCAAAGCTTATTATGAGATGCAGTAACCACCCTCTGATCTGGAGGCACAGCAYGAGCAGCCTTGTGACCTGTGGCCCTGCTTTCCTCACTCAGCCACAGCAGGAAAGGGATGCCCTGGAATAACCAAGGGTYCCTGCCCACTTTGGTACCCTGAAATGCAGCTGTCACAGAATCACAGACCTGGAAGGGTCTTTGAGCAGGGAACAAATCATCTCATCACCCTGKGTCACTCCTGACATGCTTTTATAGCCTGCCTTTGAAGACCATTAGGGCTGTTGTATCTTACCCTAATCACTGTATACCGTGTCTTATACAAGGTGGATCCCTTGAGCGTGGCACTTGGACTGGCACAGATTTCAGTTCCTCTTTGCAATTGTTTTATGTCCACGAAGACTAAACATCTCTCCTGCCCTTTTCTTTGAGCTTCACACCGGTTCAGTCCACAGATCTCATTTCCTTGGCTACTGTTCCTTTTGGTTTTGTTGTRGACTCTGCCTAGCTACCCCAAACAATTCCTAAAAAAATTAGGTCCAAACAAGGCAGTACACTGAGGCMTCACCAATGTGAAGCAGAGAGGAAAAGTCACTTCCCAGACATTGCAGAAGATTGTCCTATTTGTAGATTCCATGGTGGTGTTTGCCATTTGCATTTGTCACAGCAATGCAAATGCCCCTGACCTACCCCAAATTCAAGTCATTTAATTCAGCAGACTTCTGTCTGAACAGATATTTTCTGCCCTCTACTCAATAGCTGATTATTCCAGCCATAGTAGAGTATCATGCCCTTGTCTTTACTAATTTTTAATTAATTTTAAGCTAATTGGTTACTAATTTTTTTTTTAAAAAATTGCTGTTGTGATTTTAAATTCCAGCTCTACTCTATTCTCAGCCTGTGTTTCTACTCTGCTTTGTAYTGCCTGAGAATTTCATAGTTTCATTACAGTCTCAG